TCTGAAAAGTCAGAAACTCATCAAAAACAAAGCAATACAAAGATAAAAGAAACAACCAGTTCGAAGAAGCTCTGCAAATGTGTAGTAGCTGAAGAGTGTAAGTTGTGACCAAAAGCAAATGAGGAAGTGGTGAAAGAAGGGGCATGAAGAAATTAGAAGTCAACAATAATGGGGTCTCATCTCATTGGCCATTTTTCCAGTTTGTTTGCTACCTACTTTTTTATTAATTTCTCTGTATAATTGGTGGATGTGATCAGGAAGAGATATGAATAGAGAGAGAGGCCGGCCTTTATGAATAATGTTTAATATTGCTGAATTTTCATTCTCGTTGGACTTCTTGGTTTCTAGCCTTTTTTTTTTTTAATTTTTATTTTAAAAATCATTTTCTAGTTCTTTTATGGATTAGGTACAAATGTAAGTGTATGATAAAGCATAGGTTCACTAACCATTTATATTCCATCACAAGTGCCTCTATAATAATCAAATTTCTAAAAAATTAGACATTTAAAAGTTAGCAACTTCACTAGATTTGAGCTGTGTGGTCCCGGTGTTTTGATCCAATAATTTATTAGTCACCTCACCTAGTAGCTTATTAAAAACTTAATTAACAGTTTTACCATTTTGTTTCAAGAAAGGTACATATTCACACGTATATACATCTCAAATTGTCAATTTTTTTCAGTACCAAAACTATGCAAACCAACTTGACAAAAATGAGCAGCTGCAGTGTTTTTCAATACCCTCTAATAAGTATCCTCTTTCAACCCCACAATGTGCAGAGGTCATATACAACACAATACAACACACTCACCCTACCCAAACAAAATGTCTCCTTATTCACACTGATGCATTAATTTCAATTGAAGGAGTAGTAGCATTCACTGAGATCTCATTTCTAGTCAAACTGTAAAAGGTATCTTCAGACGCTGCAATGGCTTTAGTGCCACCCAAACAAAGGCCACAAGTTCGGATCACTGCACACAATAGTGGGAAGAAATTAGAAGAGATAAATGAGATTAAGGCTTTGGATATATATATATATATATATGGTATGGATATATTATGTATGTCCACATATATGTATTTCCGTCTTTTTCCTTTTGAAAATCCCTTGTCTAAAAGAACATTTTAGACTTGACTCCATAGTTTTTTGATTTTGGAAGGTATTATGTCGAAGGGCCTAAC